ACACCAGCCATTGTCCAGCAAGGGAGCTACAATGCGATGACTCACCTGCATAAGGCCACACCAGGGGAATTGCTCAACCTTGCCTGGGGACTCAGCAATGCCAACCAGAGACATGCCTGGACTTGTGTTCTCCAAGCACATGGGCTAAGGGTATAAAACAGAACACGGGCCCATGCTTGGTCTTTCTCCTGCCCTCACCTATGCTGCAAGCAACCAAGACACTGAGAAGACTTAAGACTCCAAGAGAGGAGACTGGCCCAGATTAAGGATGAAATCTGTGTACTATGAACTGCAATATCCACTGGGGTGAGAAAAACTGCTTAATCTAGATGTTGCCCAGTCTAATAGGGTTGAGAATTTAGACTGCGTGCTTATATTTTAGTTTCATTTGGTAATTAACTCTGACTTTTTGTCCATCACTTATAGTCACTTAAAATCTATCTTTTGTTGTCAATAAACTTATTTTACTGGTTATCTTTACCAGTGAGTTTGTATGAAGTGTGTGGTAAATCTGCTCAGGTTTTGCAAAGGCTGGTGTATATCCACTTTCCATTGATGAAGTGGTGAACCAATTAGTAAATTAGAAGGTATATTCCTTAGGTAAAGTACTGGGGGCGGATTTGGCTGGTGCCTTTCTCTGTGTGATTGAGTGGTTCTGGGAGAATTCATGCAATCTAGCTGGGTGTGGAGCTCTGCATGCTGTTGTGCTGAGTGATAACAACGCCTGGAGGGGCTGGCTGCTTGTCACTAGCAAGGCATTGTGAGAGACAGCCCAGGCTGGAGAGAGTTAAGGGGGTGCAGCGGTTCCACAGTCCCAGGCTGCACCCCGGGGAGCCCGTCACAGTTAGTACCACATCTCCCCATGGCTATACAACAAAATGTGTAGTTAAGGTCACATGTTGGATACAAATCTCTCTAATCAGCTTCATCATCAGGTTCTCACCCTTGCTCAGAAGACTCTGGAATTATCCATACAGTGGGGAAGACTGACCTCAAGTATTTCCTACAGATATCACTTCCCTGGGGGACTGGCTGCCTCAGGATTGTGGGGATGGAATATGGGTCTGTTGCTGTTGGGGCCCTGGTTACCATTCAGCCCAGGGCAGCAGTGTTCAGGAGTCTTTCCCACCTGAGGACTGTTTGGAGACCTGTGTGGAATGAGGAGGGGAGGGGGGAGTTGGTGTCTCAGTCTAGTTCCTACTGGGCAGATTTCTACAGCACTTCATCTGGGAACCTGCTGTCCATCAGAGCATGGAGGTCATGGAGTGAATTGGCCATGGAGACTCAATTCCCCTTTTATCCCCAGAGATGGTCTCTCCAGGCCAGAGTTGAAGAAGATTAATGGGTCCTTGGAGGGGAAAGTTGCACCTTCTCTGAGGCTGGCAGAAGTAGAGGAATTCTAACTCCAGGCCCATTAGAGCAGCGACTCATCAGCAAGAATGTATAATAAGTCACTAAATGAAATATAATCATGTGAAATTGTTTCTCTCCAGGTGGGAGAAGGGGAAGTTCCAGCAGCCAGAGGAGATTTCTCCTGAACTGGAAGAGCAAGTCAGTGGTTTCTCCCAGAAAACTATTGCGCTATTGGAGGCTCTGAGGAAGTTCAAAGGTACCTAGAAGGGATCTAGGAGGGGAAATTGGGAGAAGCGTCTGAGACTGTGGGAGGAGAATGGCTCTGGCCAATTGGTTCACAATTAGATTATGCATCTATTTAATTGTTGGATGAGAATGCCACACACTTGGTGTCCAAGTCACTCAACTTGATTAATTCAACCCCTTATTTGTCCCAAAAGCATGGCTTACTATTACAATTAGTATTAAAGTAAGAAATGACTGACATAATGGAAGAAATACTGCCCAGTTACGTTCTCCTGGGGCACAGGCGGGTCATGATACATTTCTCCTATGATGCTCCGTCTACCCTTTACAATGTCTTACATATTATAAACATCCAGATTATATATTTATTAATTCTTTTCCAATCACCTTTGAGTGTTATGAATAGTAAGTATCTTGTATAACTCATACACTACACATGCATGAACTTTCTAATTGGCAGGGCTTTTGCTGTCCAAGCCATTTCAAGTTATTCTCTTTTCTGATTCATTCATTTCCCTCAGTACACACTGATGTGCACAGGTCACTTTGACCCTTTTCTCCACTTGGGATTTTTTGGACTTTGCTAACTGCTCCTTGGCAGTATGTTTTGGGTGTCTGTTGTCATTAAGCACATTGTGTGGTCAGAACATCTCTTTATCCCACATAGGAACTTATGAACACATCACTTAATAACAAGGTCACTTAAGGCAACATTTCCCATTACGTCGTGCAAACTACTGACCAGACCAAAGCTAAGTCAGTCAGTATAAACGCATAATCTCCGTCTGTCCAAATTTATGCATAAGAAATGACCCTTATACCAATTCTCAATACTGAACCTAATGTCTAGTGGAAAGCAGACAAACGGAGCAGATGTAGCGGAGCCCCAGGCATCAGGATGTCTCCCATTCATTCACGACTTACCAAAGGTCTCAACATTCAGGCCCAAATTTAGCAAAATGGCCTAATTTGGGGCACCTGAGTTTCAATCCCAACTGGAGAGCTGCAGGCAGGGGCGGCTCTGTGTATTTTGCCGCCCCAAGCACGGCAGGTGCTCCAGAGCTGTGCAGCCTCCACAGCTGCAGGTGGAGTCAGTGGGAGCTGCAGGTGCCCAACCCCTCTGAGAACCAGGCCCCAGGTACCTAAAGGTCAGCACCCAAAATCTAGTCCCTAAATTAAAAGCCATTTGTTAGAGCTGAACCCAGCCCATCACTGTGCTCTGGTCCTGTACAGCAACTAGTCTGGGCAAAATGGGCTGCAGGGAAGGAGAAAGCCCCTCCCCCACAGCGAGGGATCCCTCCAGCACAGGAGCCTCTTGTGCTTGATCCACAACAGCTGCAGGCACAAGGCGTGTTCCTGAGAGGGCTGGGAATGGGGTGGGGGAGGGGTGAGGGCGGGTGGAAGAGGGAGGGGGTGGGCAGGGATAGAGGGACGTGGGCAGTGTAAAGCTGGGCCTCTGACACTCTGCACACTGGGCAAGACACACGGGGGCCATTGTCATAGGGCTGTAACTCTGGCTGGCTTCAGAACTTCCTCAGCCTGTGCCAAGGTCTGCACTGGCCCCTGCAGCCACGGAACAGCAGAGTCACAAATGGCCCCTCCCCTCTCTCCTTTCGCCAGTACCGGGGTGAATCTGGCCCATGGAGCCAACCTTCCCCCTGCCTCAATGTCCACATGGATAAAATGATTTTATTATTATTCCCATTTCTGCCTGTGGATGACGAGGCCCCATCATGCTGCTCTCTGTAGAGACACTGAGTAAACAGACCCAACAGCTCACAATTAGAGCCAGGACTTCGTAAGCTCTGAACATCCCATTAGTGTCAAAGGGACCCAAGTGGGTAAAGTTACTTTTATGCCAAAGTCTTTGCATGATCTGGGTCTAGGTTACGACAAAAGGCAGCAAGTGAATGAGACAAACCAACTGGAGTCTGAAGGGTGGGAGGGGATGATGAGGGGAAAAGTAAACCTCACTTACAGATTGTGTGTCCTGGGATGGTTGTGAGGCTTCATGGATGTTGGTTCCATTGCTGGGAAAGGCCTGAAAGAGAGAGGAAATGGAAGGTTTCAGACCGTTTTATATTAAATACCTGAGTGTGTCTCAGTCTGTTTCTCTGTCATGATGAAAACACAGGTCTAGTTGTTCACAGTGGGAATACTGCTATAAATATGAGAGCCTTAAATCTCACCTCTCTTATCCTTTCCCTCTCCAGACACTCTGCCGTCTGCACTGGAGACAAAAACAGGGGAACTCCTAGGAGCTCACAGACAGGGTGAGTTTGCAGGTGGAGATTGATGAGAAAATTCCAGTGAAAACGTCTTCATGAGATTGTAGCTAAAGTTACCAACCCAACCGACAGCAACCATGACACACCCAGCCCTACAAATAACACGTTAAACAGTGAGGGGATCCCGGGGCACTGGAACAAGGGGACCAGGGGGCCAGGCCATCCCACTTTTAAAACCCTAACCCAGGCCCCCTGCTTTTTAACATGGGCATAGTTTGGGGGCAGGCAGTGGCAGATTTAGAGTTAGTGGGGCCCTGTGCGCAGCTTCATTTTTGGCCCCCCTCCCTCGGGACCCAGCCAAGAAAAAGAACATTCTCTCTTATCTCCCCCACCCCCCTGTTTTTCATTTTTTTCTTCATCCTCCTCCTATATTATAAGTAATAGGAAGTAAATGAAAATAAAGTGAGGTCCATTGATTGGGGCAGGGGGTTGGGGTGCAGGAGGAGGCATGGGGGTCGGGCTCTGGGAAGGAGTTTGGGTGTGGGCTCTGGGCTGGGGCAGGGGGTTGGGGTGTGGGGAGGGGTGAGGGGTGCAGGCTCTGGGAGGAAGTTTGGGTGCGGGATGGGGTTGCGGGTTGGAGTGCGGGAGCGGGTCAGGGGGGCAGCGCTTATCTCCAAAAGCAACCGGCACACCCCTGTGGCAGCATCTCCGTGGGGGGGAGAGATCAGGGGGTCTCAGTGCATTCCTGTCCGCAGGCGCTGCCCCCGCAGCTCCCATTGGCTGCAGTTTCTGGCCAATGGGAGCTGCGGAGTCAGCGTTCGGGGCAGGGGTAATGCACGGATACACCCTCCCACCCTCCAGGGGCTGCAGGGACATGCTGGCCGCTTCTGGAAGCAGCGCAAAGGTAGAGGGAGGCAGAGCAGGCAGGGAGCCGCCTTAGCTCTGCTACGCTGCTGCTGGCATGTCTCTGCACATCCCTTGGGGGGAGGAGGACAGCGGGTCGGGCAGCATGCGGAGCCACCTCCCCCCTGCCAGGTGCATGCAGAGACGTACCAGCAGCCGGCCACTTCCAGCAGCGGCTCGGGGCCACTGGCCACAGCCTGCAGGCAGCCTGCCTGTCTGTCTGAGCCCTGCTGCGCTGCCACATTTTGGTGGCCCCCCTGTTGTTGGGGGTCCTGTGCCACTGCACAGTGTGTTTAATGGTAAATCCGCTCCTGGGGGCAGGGGACCATGTTGCCCCCCCAAAACAGCAAGCCTTGGCCAGGCCTGGAGCTTCACAGGCAATGGCTGTGCTTCGTGGCATGGGAGCTGATCAGCTTCCCCCCGTGGCACAGCCCCTGCCCGCAGTGCCAGCCTCTTCCTGGTCCTGGCCCCTCTCAGTGGCTCCACCCCTGCTCCTCTTCCCCCAAGGCCCTGTCTCCTGGCCAGGCCAGGAGCTAGAACTAGGCTGTCACCTAGGGAGCCCAGGCTGCACTGGGGAGCCCTGGACCCTCCACCTGCCCTGAGTGGTGCACTCCGGGGAGTGGGGACATGGGCTGGGGCCTGCTTTCAGGCCCCCTGGACCTTGGCCCAGAGCAGGTGGAGGGTCAGGGGCTCTCCACAGTGGCCAAGGCTCCCAGCCTGGTTGGGGGCGGGACCTTAGTGGGAAGAGGAGATGTAGGGCAGGGCCATGGAGGGGGTGAGGCCACAGGCTGCAGGACCTCGTGCCCCCTCCCCCTCCAGCCCCAATTCTACCAATGTTCATGCACTCCTGGGGAGATCCCAACCTGACCACAAAAAATCCTGACACCAAGGTTAGTGCTGAGTTCATGCCCATGCTGATGAACAGAAACACTCTCCCTGAGCAGCACCCGAACAGAGCTCTCTGCCATGAGGGCTGACACATCCCTCTGCTTTACCCGGTGCAGGGGGGCTCCCCATTGCTCTTCTCCAACATCCTGCCTTTCCTTTGGGCAGGGCTGGGCTCTCCCATTGCAGCTGCTCAATGGTCGCTGGATTGGGGAGGTGGTCTCCCTTTGATTCTGGCAGCTCCTCCCTTCTCTCTGGGCTGGGGATGGGGCTAGCCCACCTAATGCCACTTCCTACTCTCTGGTATTAAGCAGCTCTTCCCCAATGCTGCACCTTCCTCTCTGTTCCCTGATCTGGGAGTGGCGGCTTTGTTATGGGAGAGAGCTTCCCTCTGGGGCTTAAAGCTGGTACGTGCTTCTTCTGCTCCCTTTTCATTAAAAGCTTCTGACACTTTCCTGTCTGTCTGTGCTGCTGGGAATGGAGAAGTCCCAGAAGGGGGAGCTGAAGCCTCTGCAATAAATGAGAAACTAGTGAAGTGGGTCCCATTGCAAAGACAGAGGAACTGCAGTGACATCTCTGCTCAGTCTCAGGCGCCCAAGACAGAGGCAGCTCCCTGGGATCCAGGACTGGCACAGCCAGGATAGGGCTGCTGGGGAGTGTGAGAAATCGTCCCAGCCTCCACCAGGGCCGAGCTCTGCCCCTAACACTTTGATTCTTTCTTTCCCCAGAGAATGTGACTCTGGATCCAGACACGGCTCATCCCAAACTCATCCTGTCTGAAGATCGAAAAAGCGTGAAATGGGGAGACACATGGCAGCGACTGCCCAACAACCCTAAGAGATTTGGCACTGAGCCCTGTGTGCTGGGCTGTGAGGGATTCACCTCGGGGAGACACTGCTGGGAGGTGGAGGTGGGGGGTGGGGGAGGCTGGGCTGTGGGGGTGGCCAGAGAGTCTGTGAGGAGGAAGGAAAAGATCAGTCTTAACCCTAAGGGGGGGATCTGGGCTGTGGGGCAGTGGGGGAGTCACTTCCAGGCTCTCACCTCCCCTGTGACCTCCCTCTCCCTGAGCCAGTTCCCCAGCAGGATCCGGGTTTGTCTGGACTGTGACCAGGGGCAGGTGACATTTATCGATGCTGGTGACGAGGCCCCGATCTTCACTTTCCTGCTGGGCTCTGTCCCTGGGGAAAGAATCCGACCCTGGCTCTGGGTGGGGGGATCCTGGCTCAGACTGTGTCCCTGAGACATGGGGTGGGGGGGAGAGGAATATCCCACTGGGGCCCTGAAATCAGCCTCTCTAGCCTCACACACCCTTGTCTCTATCACCTCTCCCTGTGGACTTTCTATCATGCCTTTTCTATGACCCTGGAGGTTGCTTCCAGTCCCAACTCTGTGCAGCCTCTGGACTGTCAAACCCAGTGCCGTAACGAGGGCGAGGCAAGTGAGGCACTTGCCTCAGGTATGCAGAGCCTAGGGGCGCAAGTGTCAGCTGCTCTCTCAGCTACTGCTGCCTCTATGGCAACCAGAGACTGTGATTTGTGGGTAAGATCTGATTTGTATATTGACTTGGGTCTGGGGCTTGGTCCTTTGGGATCAGGAGAACCTTTTTCTTTTACTGGGGCATTGGTTTTCATAACCATTCATCCCCATAACGAGTGGCACTGGTGGTGATACTGGGAAACTGGAGTGTCTAAGGGAATTGCTTGTGTGACTTGTGGTTAGCCAGTGGGGTGAGACCAAAGTCCTCTTAGTCTGGCTGGTTTGGTTTGCCTTAGGGGTGGAAAAACCCCAGCTGTGGGCTGTAACTGCCCTGTTTTAAGCGATTTGTCCTGAATTGGCACTCTCAGTTGGGTCCTGCCAGAACCGCATCATCACAGTGTCCTTGGGGGGAGGACAGAGGCACAAACATGCTTCTGAGACATAGAGCCCTCCCCTCCCCCAGCACTCACCTGGAGGAGACGCTGAGGGGGCTTCCGGTGGGAGACAGGATCATCGGCAGTGGACCTCGCTCATCACCTGAGCAGCTGCTGGGGCTTCGGTGAGTGTTTGACCCTGTGAGCCGCACACACACCCCGCAGCCACCACTCCTGCAAACTGGACAAGGGGCGGCCCCATCCCGCACCCCCAGTGAGGCTATGGCGAGGGGCAGCAGAGGAGGAAGGAAGCCACATGTGATTGCAGTCCCCTCCCCCCCCCAGGTAGCCAGTCACAGGACAGGAATGATCTTAAACCTGTGTCTATTGTGGGCAATGATTTGCCTTTGGAGGGTTTCTCCAAAGGTTTGTCTGAGGAGAAGAGCTGTTTGTCTGTAAATGAAGTTTCTGAATGTCTGTCTAATGTCTCAGAAGTAAATCTGAAGTTATATCAAGAGCAGAAAGATCTCATTGGTCAGGACAATGTGTCTCAGGAGCAGATTAAAGTGGCTGGTCAGGTGAAAGCCCTGACGGAGGGAGGAAAGGGCAGATTTTGGATGGGTGATGGATTGGTGGCTAGTACAGGTTGTAAAAGGGAACCTGAAAAGGGTAACTGGGATTTGCTGGCAGTAGCTCAGTGTAATGAGAAGAGCAGCAGTGTATCTGTTGGGAGTGGCAATGTGCCTGGTAAGGAAAGTCTGGATGATCCTAGCAGCCTTGTGAGCTGATGGCTTTATCTAGTCAGCAGATTGGGAAGGCCAGGAGAGTGGAAGATGGGTTTGTTTCCACAGGGCAGGCGGCGCTGGGGGGGAGGGGGGAGACTGTTTCTGCAGTGCCTGGCAGCGCTGTGTGTGTGTTTTGGGGGTCCGGCACTGGGGGGGGAGCGCAATTTTATATTCTTGTCTCGGGCTCAAAAATAGCTAGTTACGGCTCTGGTCAAACCATAGAGAGCATTGAGTGAGTGAGGTAGAGAAGCCAATCTCATCACTGCTCCAGGGATTGTGCAGCCTGTTTGTCACTGTCCTCTATGGTCCAGGAGGACTCTGGGGATCCTGGGTCAGACAGTGCCACTGAGACATGGGGGGGGGGGAACAGCCCACTGGGAATGAAAGAATGGGCTTCTCTAGCCACAATTATCCTAGCCCCTATGGCCTGGAGGACTCCTGTCTTCCCAATCTCTTAGCTTGGCTTCCTGGCCTCTTAGCTCTATGACCCCTGGAAGCTCCTTCCCACTCCCTCCCTGCAACACCAGGGGTTGGAGGGAGAAGGGGGGTGAAGAACCCCTGGAGCTGCAGAAGGAGCAGAGGGGCCCTGAGGGGCAGATGTGGGGCCTGAAGGGTCAGAACTAAAGGAGGGGCTGGGGGGCAGAAGTGATGTGGGGTTGTTGGGTAGAATTAACAGCCAGGCTGGGGACAGGCAGATGTGCGGGTGGCAGGGACACAGAATTAATTGAAGTTTGGGGGAGAAACTAGAGACTCCACACCAGCAGGGATACTAGCAGAGGGAGAGCCAGGGACTGGGGAATGTGATTCATCCCAATATCCAGTAGAAATGAATGGCTAGCATAGTCACGTCCTACATTGATAGAAGGGGTTTTTCCTTCAATGCAGTTAATCCACCTCTGGGAGAGGCAGTAGTTAGGGCAACAAAGAATTCTTCCCTTGACCTATCTGCGTCTACATCGGGGTTATATCAACCTAACTACATCACACAGGGTGTGACATTTTTCACAGCTCTGAGCAATGTAGCTAGGCTGACCTAAGGTTTAGGTGTGGACTAGGCCTCAGGATGAACAAGGGTATGTCTACACTACAGTGGCTAGAGTGACACAGCTACAATGCTCCAGCTGTGTCCCTGAAGTGCCCTAGTGTAGATGCTTCCTACATTGACAGAAGTGGTTTTTCCATCGCTCTAGTTAATCCCGCTTTCTGAGAGGCCGTTGCCAGGTCATCAGCGGAATTCCATTGTCTGCACTGGGGGTTAGGTCGATCTAGCTGTGGCACTCAAGGAACACAATGTTTCACAGCCCTGAGTGACAGCACTAAGTTGACCTAAGTGTAGAGCAGGCCTAAGAGAGGTTTCCCTGGAGCTGGCTGAAAACACGGGCTGAGGGACTGTCTGGCAGCTTGGTGTGTGAGGCAGAAAGCCAAGAGAAGCAGTCATGAGTGTGATCCCAGGAAGAAACGGAGAGACAGAGTTGGATTCAGGCACAGGGTTCCCTGGAAAGGCAGACATGGAGTTCTGAGTAAGGAAACTGCCGTCTGCTGTTTGTACCGTGTTCAGGGCACAGGAATGTGCAGACATGGTTTGTAACCAATAAAGATTGCACCAAAGAAATACCTGACTCCTATAATCAATTTATCCTCCCTATGGAAGAACCTAGCAAGGCCCCAAACACTGGCTAACTGCTCAGATCAAAGGAGCAATGGTACAACCTGAGTCAGAATCTAGACCTGTGGAGGCAAATGTGTTGGTGGGTAACATTTGCCGGGACCTCCAGCAGCAAAGAGCCTGTGCAGAGGAGCATATTGCTGCTAATTGTGGACTTGAGCATGTCCAGCTTTGTGGGCCGAGCAGTCCCCATTGTCCCTTCTCTCCAGCCTGACACTCCTCTGCCCAGAGTCAGACAAAGCCCAAACTGGCTCGTATTTCCCCCCAGCAGAACTGGTCCAGTGATTATGGGGTCAGTATTGGGCCAAGGCAAAAGACCACATCAAGTACTGATGACATCACCATTATCACCCGACACTGCAGAGACTGGCCTAGGGACTGTGGGGAGGGTCAGTGAGATGATTATCAGACAAACTCTGTGTCTGGGCTCGTCCATCCGTCTCCTTATCCTCTTCTCCCAGGTTCCAGCTGCAGAGGGAAAGGTTTGCCCAGTAGCAAAGGTGCTGTTACCCTGAGCAGACCCAGGTTCCGTTTCCTGCTCTGTGTGAAGTCAGGAAAGTCACTTATTCTGTCTGGGCCTGAATTTCCCCTCTTCTAAAATGGGAGAAACAGCCCTTCCGCATCACACAGCAGAAGAAGCACTGTGTGTGTGGCGGGGAGGCCCATGGGGTCATGTGTCCCTCAGATTTAATGCTTGGCTTGTAGTGACCATGTTCACACAGACTGAGCATGCTCAGTAACATCAACTGAAGGCACTGCCCTCACTCTTCCCCCGTGCCCCCACCATTGGTAGGTATGGGTCATCTCTGCACAGCAGTAGGGTGAGTCTAAGCACATTGGCGTTTGCCAGGTGCTCAGACAGTGCAGTGATGGGTGTCAGATAAGGACCTGCAATCGCTAGAAGTGCAGCTGTTTCCTGTCACATCTAATCACAAAAACATCACATTGGGGTTGTCACAAACTTTCCTGATTTCACACTGACTCTTTCACTAGCTGGTGTTTCTCTTAACACCCCAGCTCCTGGAATCCTGTGATTAAATGACAATCTCAGCTCTCACTTTAACAAAGGTCAGTTTCTTGCTCTCATGGCTGAGAAGAAAAAGTTGAGAACAGGGCCACAGTGAATCATGACTGCTCCGAAACAAACAAAAAATCCAGAATGTAATTTTTTAGAAGAAAACCCTCATGTTTCCGTCAGCCAACCTCAAGATTTTGGATTACGTGGTGCTGGCTGTGCTGCCTTTGCAGTGATCAGTTTGTTTTCAGGCCTCTTGTCTCCAGCACAGACTCTAAGGAGCTAAATATAAAAATGAACATTATAATTTATCTCTTTACTTCACCCCTAATCCAGGGGAGCTGTGCTCATTTGCCGCTTGGCCCCACAGCCCGGCTCCATGCGCATTCCCACACCTTGCCCTCTCTGTCTATTTCCCTTTCTATTAACTCTGCTGTTGTAGATAAATGATGGCACTACATTAGGGGGCTCTCCAGGGGTAGCAGATAGAGCTTTAAGGCCTGAGTTCTCAGTGGCACAGTATTGTCAAGCCCAAACTTTTGAAAATCATGAGTCAGGACCCCCAAAATGATGCAACTGCCTTTTATGAGACATAAAAATAAAAATGATAATAAATGTTGAGTTCTTTCGATTTGTCTTCTGGCTTCTCAGCCCTTTAGGCTGCACTTAGATCACCTTTTTATAGTTTTTCTCTGTAACCAAGAAATCCTTTGTTTAGGAAACAAAAGCCAAGAGTCTCACCTCGTCACATGCTTCCAGGAGCTGGGGCTTTAACAAACACACCAAATATCAGGCAAAACCATGCTCTGAAGTGTCCCTAGCCTCTGTTTGCCAGAAGCTGGAAATGGGTGACAGGGGATGGATCACTTGATGTTTGCCTGTTCTGTTCATTCCCTCTGAAACACCTGGCATTGGCCACTGTCAGAAGACAGGATACTGGGCTAGATGGACTATCGGTCTGACCCAGTCTGGCCATTCTTATGTTCATGAGACTCATTATAAAATCATGAATGTTGGCAACACTTTTGACACTGCGTCTCCTTTACACTGAGGCAGAGCTGCCTTAGCGTATGTCAGAATCAGGCCTTTGAAACATTGATTCCAGCTTAGCCAAGTTTTTGGCCTGTGAATTGAATATCCCTAGACTTGGAAGGATTAGATTTTATTGGTAGATGTCAGTAACTGTTGATTTCACTGTACACACACAAACCATGGGACAATATTTCCATTGATAAGTGAAAATTTCAAATAGGCACAGTAAGAAAAATGCTGCGTGAGAACTTACTAGAGTTTGATTTAAGGAGATTTACTTAGTATATTTGGACATGTGATGCTGA